TGAAATGGGCAAACGCTTCAGGTTAGCAACATATGCTGCAGGAACAGCTCTTGCTCATCCAATCATAGGTACTTCCGATTAGCTAAAACTAAGTTGAATTAATCTAAAACTTCGTCACCCACTGGTTAAAAGCGGGTATTTATACCCAGATTAGCCAAAATATGTGAAAAGCACAATAATTGGCCAAGAGGTCTATTAAGTGAAGCGTGCCGTCGCTTCGTTGCAGGCAAGTGGACATTGTTGTTCACGACGTTTAGGGGAAGGGTAAACAAACTAGGATGAAAACCCAGCTTTCAAGTTAACAGTTAACTGTAAACAGGTACTCGTACTCGACTGTCAATGCAAGAATACACGCTCAAATTCATCGGTAATATTGTGGCACTAGAACCAGAATAGATTTCCAGTACCCGACCTCACGTTAACCTAACACCTTGGTATTTCCGATCTGACAAATCAACTAAAGTAAGTTAACTGTTAACTTTGAAACGGTATCGTTACTTTAAGCGTTACGGAACCAAACGAGCCATTCGAAAAATCCGGATATTTAGACTTTACCGTACATGATGTTGGAATCATTTTGTCCAATCAAATGGCCACACTCGCCGCCCAATTTGAATTGAATTGCGGATGGACGGAAGACTGGCGCTGCTCGAAGAAGTCCCTCTTGTGTACGTGGACAAGGACGCCGAGTCGGTCGTTCTCGTCAAGTCCAAGTTCCAGCAAACCCCTCCATACACGCCTCCTCAACGTCCGTCCATGTGTCTCCATCACCCTGTTGGCTCATGCTGGTGTAGGGGTGGAGAACTTAGCAGGCGGATGCATCGTGCGTAAAGTGAGCTTCGTCAGCTTCCGTGCTATTGGGAAGCAAGTGTTCTTGTGGGAACATACTGCCGGCGACAGTGCTACCGCCGCCCCTGTCACCACAGCGCCGCCCCCACCGTCGACATCGTTGGCAATCCAACTGCCAGGTATGTATGTACTGTACCTCATCGGCACCTTGTCGGTCATGTGATGTGTTATTGCAGAAAGTGTCGCGCGAAATGGTGTGAGTGTGTTTGAATCGGCAGACAAGCAGTACTTGTCCGTATGCATTGTGACAGCCGCGAAGACCGTCCATCGCTTCTGCTACAAACTGGACCCGGTTCTCAACTTTGCCGACGCCGCGCGGGACGAAGTGGCGTTCGCGATGACGTCTCTACCTCTCCAGACGTCCATTTCCTCTGTGTGCTGGCTCGATGAATGCAACGTCGTCGTCGGCGGGGACAACGGCGCAGTCCTCGCCATCAACGTAGGACTGTCGATCTTTGGCCACTCGGCGTCTTCGTTCCACGAGGTCCCGCTCACCGATCACTCTGTGCTCCAATGGGTGTGGGAAGGCCTTGGCTTCCAACCCACCAACAAGCCGCAGCCCATCATCGCCATCGCCGCCGTCCCCGACCTCGTCGACGACGACTCAACCTCTTCGGACACGCTGATCGTGACGCTGTCCGCCGACTTGGTGCTGCGTGTGTGGTCGTACGAGCACCAGAGCTGCCTGTGCAACCAGTCTCTGCGTCCGCACTTGGAACTCGACGCCGCCGCCGCCGATCTCGCGGTCCTCCATTTTATCCCGTCGTCGACCGACGTCCGCGTCCTCGTGCACGCGTCGTCCATCACGCACCCATCCAAGAATGAGATCGTACTCCTTCGCGGCGACTTGACCTCCAAGGTGCTGGATCTGGACGTTGTCCGGCGCTACGTCGTGCCCGCCGCCGCCGCCGCCCGCTTGGTCGATTTCGTTGTCGTGGGGCCCTCATCAACCTTGGGGCCCTCATCAACCTCGTCGTCGCAGCAACTCGTATCCGTGTGGCGCAGTGTCGCAGAAGACTTTGTCTATGTGTTCCCCATCTCGCGAACCGGTCCCAAGGTCATCCTGGGCCAACGCGTCAAGGGATTGGACACGTTTGTCCACCACCATGAATCCCACGACCTTGACTTGAACAATGCCTCTACAGCTGACGTTGCCGACATTGACGTACGATTTCTCTATATATTGTGCTTTTGAGTGAAATTTCGTGTTGTGGTTTCTCGTTGGAATTTAAATCGATTTGATTGGCTACTTCAGATGTGAGCTCCAAATTACTAACCAATCAAAACCCATTTCTCAATGAAATTCAACCAATCAGATCGATTGTGGATCGGTTTGCACGATTCAATTGCACCCCAAATCTGTATATCAAATCGACAATAGTAGTTTAGTATCTCCCCATCATTCATAGTATCATCTCTTTCTACGACTACTACTAGAGCTACTACCTCGACCGACTGTTTGCCCCGAACCGATTCAGTGCCGAATGCATACGCCACGCCCTATCCGCGGCGTCGACGGCCGTGTCGGGCGCGGCTCTCCGCCGTCTGGCCCTTGAGGCCGTGCACCGCGAATGCCCAGACAAGGCTCGGCGCGAGAAACAGACTGACGCCAACACCGTTCGCGTGGCAATGTGGGTGCAACTGCTGCAGAAATGCACCAAGGTTAGTACTCTGAGCAGCCAAGTCCAAATCCATTGATGTGTTTGTCCGTAGCTTTGGGCGGTTGAGAACATTCCGCTGGGCGTGGCCTCGATCCAAGGCTCGCTCGTCCTCCTGCGCCGCAACCACACGTCCATTTTGTTTCCGTCCACCCGCGCGATCGTCGCGACGACTGGATCATCCTCGGTGCATCACGACGACGAGCTCTCGGCCCTCATCACGCCGTTCTTTGCGTCGTTCTCCCACCGCGACGTCAGGGCGGCGGTGCTTTGCGAGTGGAATGTCGACCTTCATGTGGACCTGACCAGCCCGTCGCTGCTCGACACACTCCGCCGCGAACTACAGCGCGGCCTTGTCCACACCAACCAACACCAAGGCAAGTCGCTGCCGACGCTGTTGGCCCGTGTGGCGCCTATCTTGGCGGGGGATGCCACCGCCCAATCCGCCGTCTTGACGGCATTGGTGGACAACCTGACGCTCTTGGACGCGTCGTCGTCGTCGGCATCCCCAAGTGCAACCGCCGCCCCTCCGTCGTCCACGGACCTCAGCCTCGCGCTGCATCGCATGGGGGCTGTCGTCGTCCACGACATGCTCGCGGCCACGTACGCGGCGCTGGGCTTTCTCGCGTTTTTGGATGACGCGCAGCCGTCATTCGTCGCGCCTGCTACGCTCCAACACATCTCGACGGCGCTACTTCCCCGCGGCTTCGCTTTGTTGCGCAAGTGGGTGTTCTACCAGTGGTTGTTTGATCAGCCGTCATCACCCGACACTCAGGTCATGCTCGTGCAAGCGTTTGCACGTCATGATGACGACAATGATGTCCAACGCAATCTGGCGACGGCGGTGCTGGGTTTGCTCCACAAGGTGCACGACCTGCCGGCGCTCGCATCGTTTGTCCACGCGACGCGCCAGCACGACGTGGTTCGCGTCGTCGTGCGCTACGCCCTGCAGCACCCCACTGACCCTGACGACGACGGCGCTGTGACCATGTACCTGACCAGACTGCTCGGGGATGCGTTGGTGGCGGAAGCGGTCGTTGGATACGAACTCAACCACGAACGCCGCCATGTCACGCACATTTTGGAGCGGGCTGTGCGCAGCTACATCACCGTGCTCGAGTTGGAACACCGCTCGACGACCACTGCCGCCTCCACTTCTCAACTGTACGAGATCACGGGCCATCTCAAGGAGACGGCGCCGCGCCCGTATGCCGCCAAGTTCATTTTGCAGCTCTTGCACGCGTCGCTGGTCTTTCACTGTAGTGACGATGTGACTGGCGCGACCGAGTTTATCTGGTACAACGTGTTCAAGCTGGCGCTGACTGAGCGACTGTACGACGAGGCGCATGTGGCCCTGCACCACGTCGTTGCACGCGCCAACTCGGCGACGGTGGACGAATGTGTGCGCCATTTCGTGCTGCAGCTGTGCGACGCGGGGCGGGTCGATGTGGTCGTCGGGTTCACGTGGGGCGCGCTCGACGCCAAAGTGGAGGACGTGCTGCAGTGGCAGGCCGCCAACACCCACGCCAACCTGACAATCAAGCGCGCATCGCAGAGCGCCGTGTCCGTGCTGCGGCTGCTGTACAGCTTCCTGGTCAAGCGCGCGCGATTTGCCGCTGCCGCGCAGGCCATGCACGCTTTGTTTGTGCGGCTCGAGCCCGATGCATTCCATGTGGACGTGCTGCGGGTACAACGGGACGCGCTGCTAGCCGCGACGAACGTGCTCGCGCTGGTGCCGGCACCCCAAAATCGGTGGTTTATCCACCAAGAACCAAAGACCACCAACCGAACGACGGACCCCCTCCGCGTCATCACGGCCTCCGACTTGCGTCGGGAGCTGCTGATTGTGCGAGGCAAATTGAAGCTTGTCGGGTCGAGCGCGGCGGCGCTGGCTGGCCAAAGCGGCAGCGAAGTGGTGTCGCTGCTGCTGAAACATCTGACGCCGGACGGCACGATGGCCACAAACGTGGCGCTGGCGGTCGCGATTGCCCGAGCCATTGACATGGACGTCAAAGTGGTGGTGCGCGCCGTCGCCCGCGATTTTGCCTACTCTAGCGGGACGGAATCGCTCCTCCAAGCGCTGCTCCGGCACACCCACAGCCCGGACGCATACCTGGCGGCGGTGGACACGCTCCTGCAGTCGCATGCGCCGCTTCCGACGTGGCTCACGGACGCCGCGGTGGCCGCAGGACTGCTGACCGCCGTCGCGCTGCTGCGACTGTATCTGGACCACGGGGTGCTCGACGAAGCGGTGGCGCTGGCGATCGATCATTTGGTTCCCAAAGACTTGTCGCAGACGGCATTTCACCAGGCAGCTGCCGCCGACACGTCGCCAAAGCACTGGATGCCGTACGAGCTGCTCGACAAGTTGCTCGGCGCATGCGACGCCGTTGGTGGTGATGACGTGGCGCCACTACAACACAACGCCACTCGACTGAAGCAACGGCTGGCCGAGTATTTCCAGTATGTCCACGTCGTGGACGCCGCCGCGTCGATCCGTCGACAGCACGAACGTCCTCCGACTGCTAGTAGTATTAGTAGCACAACTACTAGTAGTACTCCGATGACGTGGTCGACTAACTAAAATTCCACCCTCACTTCTCGTTGTAGTGTTCTATTCGTCCAATCATGTTGCGCATTTATGGTTTATGCGACAGAGTGCAACAGATCCGTCGTGTGAGGAGCCAACGGCCCAAGCAGCGTCACATGGGAGGCGTCGTCGTTGAACGCACACGCATATCCGTGAAAAGTCACGCCGGCCGCCTTGGCCTTGTCGCAGTGGGCAGCAAACGCTGGATCATGGAGCGAGCTCGGCGCAAACGTCGCGCAGTCACTTCGCTGGACGAGGAACACCACGGCAGCGCGATGGCCTTTGCTGCGTACATGGGCCAGCTCCTCAATGTGCTTGGATGCTCGGGTGGACACGGTGTCTGGGAAGACGGCGCAGCGGCGTCGAGATGACAAAGCATCGCGTCCTCCAGCTTGTTCTTCTTCTTTGGACAGGGTGACGCTCTTGACTTCAACATATGTGTCGACTTGATCGTCGGTGGTCACGACAAAGTCGACGCGGCTGTCCTTGGTGTGCTTGACTTCGGGTTGGATGGACGTGATGCGCCGATGGCCGACGACTTGGGGGAGCCATCCGTTGCGCAAGGCAGTTTCGACCATGCGATTGGCAGACGCAGAATGCACGCCTACCCACACCATCGCGTCGGCCTGGTTCTAGTTCAAAACAAGAATATGAGGACACAACAACGATGATGGACGATGGACGATGGGGATGGGGATGACAGTACTTTGACTTGAATAAACTCCAACGTATGGGCATACTTTCGTTTCGCGTTGTGGCTCACCGAGAGTCGGACGGGCGCCAACGGAATGTCCAAGAGGCCGACCATGGGACCGGTGTTGGGGCAATGCACCGTCACGACGGTGTCGTCGTCGTCCAACTGCACGTCGGCTAAGAATCGCTTGTAGCGCTTGACCAACTTGCCCGACACGAGCGCAGGAAAAGCGTACACCACTCGATCGCCGGAAACTGGTGTCGTGGCAATGAAGCCGATGGGGGATGGCTTGCGCTTTGGACAGTGCGTCGTGTCATCACTTGAGGCTGCCGACTTGCTCGACACGCGCGACTTCTTTGGTTTCGGGGCTACTGGAGAGTCTGGTGCATCGATAGAGTGCAGAGATCGTCGCTGGGAGCGCAGTTGGCGCTGGGACACGGCTGCAGCTGCCGACCCAAATGCCCACCGCTTGAACCCTTGGACTCCCACCATGATGACGTGGTTCGAATAAGTACGAAATGGTTTGTTAGTACTACTAGCAGTCCTACTATCGATGCACTGTATAAAATGATATGGGCTCTCCAATGATCATGTGTGAGAGGCTTCTCGTCAACCAATCGATCCGATGGTCCAATCAATATTGGTGGCAATCAATGTGCATCATTTTCGATTTCGCGCCGTAGTTGTCCAGTAGTAGCGTTAGACCGCCATGAAACAGTGATGTACCTTTATGGTCTCGTTCGTATGAAATCGTACCTCTTTAGGTACACATGATTCGAATCGGAATGCTGAGTTTCAGATCTTACACGTTTGGTAGCGGTGGCGTTGATACTGTACCTATAGAGGTCGTGCAACCTATTCGACACTTGACGATGTTATGCCTCGAGGTGACAATCTGCAGTATAACTCGCCAGTCTCGAGCATAGGTACATTGTACAGCAGCATCATACTAGTATACTGTAATTCGACGCCGTAACAATGCAGTAGGCTATGTATGTATTCCACTTCACAAAGGACTTGTCTTGTTCGTCCAAACTGGGCCACATACAGTTGGCCTTATGTTTCGTGACTTGATGGAGGAACGTGCTGTGGTTGGTTCGTTGGTTACCTAACCCTGCTTATACCGTTTAACGTGTAAATATACCGCGTTTTGTGATGTATATACCGGGTATTTGAGACGTTTTTCATGGTTGAATGAAATGGTCAAGATCCCTGGCCGTTGATTGGTCGAATGACGTTTCAAAACGTCCCAATGAGTGGCAGCCCCACGTTGCACGTGTGGAACCATGGAAGGTCATTTTCGCACTTGCCAGCAACATGTTCGCCCGCCGAGTGATCCGCAACGTCGCCCAACAAGCCGCCCGCACCATGGCGACCCAAGCCCGCCCCTTGGCGCAGAAGGCCTTCTCCCCTCTGATGGTCGTGGCTGGTGTCTCCGGTGTCGCCGCCGGCATTGCATTCTCCACCCCTGCCGAATCCAAGGCCGTGAAGAAGGTGTCCCCGTACACGGGTATCCCTGGCACCAAGAACGAACGTACGTTCATCGCCATCAAGCCCGACGGTGTGGAACGTGCTTTGATCTCGGAAGTGATTGGCCGCTTCGAGAAGAAGGGCTACAAGCTCGTCGCGTTGAAGCTCCTCACCCCCACGGAAGCCCGTGCCAGGGAACACTACGCCGACTTGTCCGGTCGCCCGTTTTTCAACGGCCTCGTGAAGTACTTTGCGTCTGGTCCCATTGTCGCCATGGTCTGGGAAGGTACTGATGTCATCTTGACCGGTCGCAAGATCCTGGGTGCCACCAACCCCAACCAAGCCGCCCCCGGCACCCTTCGCGGAGACAACACCATCTCCACCGGCCGCAACTTGGTCCACGGCTCGGACGGCCCTGAATCCGCCAAGCACGAAATCGGCATGTGGTTCACTGCTGGTGAAATCCAAGACTACGAACGTGCCATCGACGAATGGATCGTCGCCGACAACTAAATCCACCCCCTAATTCCTCCTAATATCAAGAGTTCTACTTGATCCAATACACACAGAGAGCATCTAGCAGTCCGTCCTCTCACATGTTTCACGTGTCCACAGCCAGCTTACATAGGTATCGCCGCCAATAGCGTGGCAACATGATATCAAAGTAACGCTTCCAGTTACGCTATGTTATTTTTGGTTTTGTATAGCATACTGAGCTCAGTATAAAATGATAGTTATTGTGCCGATGCACGGCTATTTTGACTATAACGATTTGGATTGGCTAAAATGATTAAATTGTGTCGGATTTGATTGGTGTATTCTAAACATTCTGCAGAGTCGTCCAAGTCAGCAACAACGAACAAGATGGACGGGGATGCGTTCCATATGGACGTCGAGAAGCGGCAATCGCTCCTCGAATGGCTGCAGACATTCACCACCGACGATCCCATTGGAACAGGCCTTCCGTCGGTGACCTCATGGCAGACTGTGGCTGACGGGGTCTTCCTCGCGCGCGTTCTCCACCAAATGTACGTTGCGACAACGATCTTCATTGACAAACCCCCTCGTACACACGTCAACGACGAAGCTTCTGTCGCATGCTTCTCATCTCTCCATGAGGGTGATGTCTAACCATGGGATGTAGTGAGCCCGAGTACCTCAACCTGTCGGGTATCAAAGACGAAGGCGGGGTGGCCTCGAATTGGATCTTAAAACTGGCCAACTTCAACGCGATCGCACGAAGCATTGAGAATTTCTACCACGACGAGATCGCCGTGCGATGCGAAGTGGCCACGCACGTCGATCTGAACCGCATTGCCCGTGCCGAGGTCCTGGACACCGCCGTGGAAGTCGAGTTGAGCAAGTTGGCCGCCATGGTGTTGTACTGCGCCGTGAACTGCGCCGAACGGCAGACATTTGTCGTTCGCATCATGGCGCTGGAACAACGTGTCCAGCAAAGCGTCATGGCGATGCTGGAGCAACTGACTACCGTGTTTCCTCCGTTGTCACCCGTCCATGGTCTTGCCTCGCCCGCGCTCCGCGGGTCGTCCATTGGGCTACTGGATTCAACGCCCATCCGCGGGTTCAGCGGCGACGAGTCTGGCGACGTGCGAGATCTAAAGGAGCGCCTCAGTGCCATGGAGAAGAAGTGGCAGGATGCCGAGCAGGACAAGCGCGCCATCACGGAGGAGTACGAGAAGGTCGCGCTAGAAGTGCGGAACGCGCGGCTTCGAATCGCTAGCCTCGAAGAAGACAACTCCCGTCTGAACGGGGAGCGGCAGCAGGCGGTGGCGCGGGACAACAAGAAGCTGGAGGAGCTCGTGAACGCCGAGAAGCACGTGCTGAGCGTCGAGTTGCAGGCCAAGACGGACGAGCTCCACCAAATCAAGCACGAGTCCGCCGAGAGGATGACGGTGTTGGAGCACGAAGTGCGCCGTCAAGCGGTAAGCGGTTATATTGTGTTTTTTTTACCCAAAAATTTGGGCTTTTGTGTGCTGCCGATCCTTTGTACTGTGAAAAAGCTGTCCTGTGGCGATGTATATTCACACTAATTGAAATCATACACTAATTCGATGTTGATGATTGGTTTCCTGCAATCTGATTGGCTAAATATACTTTTGCAATTCTCCAATTTAGAATATATAAACACACAAGAATATATACCTATAAGTGCACGATCCATCTGTCGTTCAACGTAGCCTTGATACGTGGTTGTTGTAGGATGAATTAGATATTTCCCGATCGAAACTCGTGGCGCTGGCGAAATTAGAGTCGACGGTGACCAAATACAAGCAAAAACTGGATGAGATGAACACCGTCAAGGAGCACGTGCGGGAGGTGGAGGCGCAGAACGCGTCGTACTTGGAGAAGATGCTAGACTTGGAGAGCACAGTCAAGACCATGGCCAGCCTCAAGGCATCGATCGAAAAGTACAAGAACCAAGTGGTCGAGTTGGAAACGGCCAACGTCGAGGCCCTATCGACGCTGCAGGTGAAGGACCAAAAGTGTCGGCAGCTGCAAGACGAGCTCGAGAGCGCGCTCCACGGTAAGGAGTTTCTAGAGCACCAGCTCGAGGAAATGCAATCGCATGTGCCGGCAAACGACGGAGGCCGGGACGACATGTACACGAGCGCCGCCGACGTGCTCGGGGGCGGCCTCAACCTCCGCGAGCAGGTGGCCCGCCTACAGCACGACAACCGGCGGCTGCAGCAGCTTGTGGACGGCTTGCCTGAGACGTCATCGTCTGCGACATCGCCCGCAGTGTCTGGTGACGTGTTGGCGCTGCAAAACGAACGGGACGACGCACTCCGCATGAAGCAAGTGTGGCAGGACAAGGCCGTGGAGACCAAGCGGCAGTTCGATGCGCTGGTCGAAGCGACCAAAGGGATGGGTCCAGGCGTGTCGTCGGCGCAACTGGCGCAGCTCGAATCGACCAATACCCGCTTGGCCACGCAATTGCAAGCGCACGAAGAACAAGCGCGGAAAATGGTATATTGTGCTTTCGAGTGAAATTTCATTGTGTTGTGGTTTCTCGTTAGAATTTAAATCGATTTGATTGGCTACTTCAGATGAGTTCAACATTATTAGCCAATCAAAACCCATTTCTCAATGAAATTGAACCAATCAGATCGATTGTGGATCGGTTTGCGCGATTCGATTGTACCCCTCCCCAAATTTGTATCAAATCGACAATATATATATATATATAGTTTAGTGGAGGTTGAATTGGATGATTGCTGGGTAGGCGGCCAACGTTGAAGAAACGGACTCGTTCCGCGCGACGATCGCCGAGCTGACCAACCGGCTCAAGGACAAGGAGTCGGTGATCAACAACCTGTCCCAGGATAAGGAGAAGCTCGAGACGTACACCAAGAAGACGCTGCATGCCGTCCAGAGCAAGTACATGCTGGCCGTGAGCGTCCACCGCAACCAGATTTCAGAACGACAAGCCAAGGTCGAAATGCTCGAAAATAAACTCAAGGAGCTCAAAGCTGGCCAAAAGAGAGAACAGGCGCTGCTCATGTCGTCGTTTTACGAGGTGTGTAAACACGATTCGTCTAGCTCTTATATATAACTTCATGTGTAGATTGGCGGGGAAATGCAGAGACGGACGATGATGCCGCAGACGCCGGCGGCCGGTGCCCCGCCCCTGGCTGCGTGGCTGCCGACGAAACGGATGGACCGCGGCGGTCCCAAGCGCTAGCAGAGCTGCTTTCAAAAGGGGGTGAAGAAGAAGGAAGGGAGTACACGTTGTAGCCAAACGTAGTGCTGTAGCAGTAGGTAGTTATTGCATGGGAACACTAGTGAATACACACAACAATGCATTTGGTTATCTAAGGATGGAGATGGTTGTTGTTGGCCGACAACAACCGATCGATCCCTACTCGGCCGTGTTGACGCCGAGGTTGACGAGGGCGCGGGTGGCCTGCTGGCAAATGCGCTCGTTAGGCGACCGCACCAGAAGCTGCAATGCATCGACACCGCCCAACTCGATAATCAGCTCCTTGTTGTCGGCTACGACGAATATGTAGTCGTAACAAAATGGTTGTTAATGACGTACGATTCACAGACAGATTGCGCAACGCACGGGCGACTTGGGACTGCAGCTCCATCGAGTCGGACTTGGCCCCGTGGATAATGGGCTTGAGCCCGCCTTCCTGTGCGATTTCGATTTCGTTTGCATCTGCCTCCCACGATGTTTAAATGAGAGATTACAACCACCGGGAAATATCAAAATGGACGTTACCGTTCACGGCCAAGTTGGCCAACGCTGCGATGGCTTCGACCGCGACGCCAATTTGTTTGGATCGGGCCAACTCGATCAACGGTTTGATGCCGCCTGCTTTGGCGATCTTTTCCTTGTTGTCCACTGCACACACGACAATCGTGTCAAGGAAGATCTTGATTGATGGATGATCATACCATTGACGCCGAGGTTGGCGAGAGCCTTGGCAGCTTGGCGCTGAACATGTTCGTTAGTCGATTGCAACAAGTGAATGAGCATGTCGATGCCGCCTTCGTTCGCCATCTTCGCTTGGTTGTCGGCTAAGTAATAATCATGCAAGTGAGGTGTTGTCGAATGAAGCCATATGAAGTTGTGCGACGAACAATTGACAGACAGATTCGCCAACGCATGGGCCGCCAGCCGCTGGACTTCCGTGTCTTTCGACTGCGTCAACGGAAGCAGCAGCTTGAGCCCATCAAGCTCCACGATCTGCACTTGACGGTCCGCTACAACAAGATGGATGAGTGTGTCGCCGCCAGGCAGGACCGGACCACGTACGCTTGACGGCTTCGTTCGCAAGCTTCTCTGCCACTTCGCGCTGCAAGTTGGCGTCGGCACTCTTGGCATATGCAATAAGTCGCTGCAGGTTGATCTTCAGCGCGTCCGTGAAGCCTTCGTCAGAGTCTTCGTACGTGAACTCGTCCTTGCTGCCACCCTTTGAGCCCGATTGCCCCATTGTTCCAAACGTCACTATGGCTCGGCGGATCGAGCAGGTGAGGTATCCGGATAAAATCCCGAACACTATCGCCACGACACCTTTTTTCCGGATGCACGTTCATCTTCGACTGACAAAGATGTCATCCTCATCTGTGCATGCAGCACGCTCATGCTCTCTCGTCAATCTTATTAGTTCTTGCCATAGCACTATTGTAGTCCGCCCAACGTATTAGTTACTGGTATTGTCCTTTTACCCAAATAATTTGGACTTTTGGGTTCTTTGCCATAAAATCTATCGATCGATTCTTTGTACTGCCTTTAGTATGGAAAGATCGTGTTGCTAGTGCGGACTACAGTAACGTTATGGCAATATTGTCAAGCCGATTCGAAAAATTGCAGTGGGGGTGCTCAATCGAACAATGACCAGCACACCAAATCGACAGACAATAGATTGACCAATCAAAACCCAGAACACTAATCAAGTGGCCAATCAAATCCACTCTGCGACATTTCATCTTCGAATTAGTGTGTGACTGAAATTAGTGTGACACTCCCCTACTCCCATCGATGTGTGGCGGCGCTGTCAACCCAATCGCGGCGACTATCCCATTTGTTTTGTCTTGACCGCCATGTCTCTATTAACGTTTTGACCTTGAAAAGTGCATTGCACAATTCAGTACGTAGTACTTGCCTACAGTTTCCCCCATACCCCCCCAATTCCCCCCTCCTACTCCCCCATACGAGGAACAAAACACTTGTACCGACAGGTAAAAGCATAATGTACTTGGTCATGTGAGCACCCTGGCTTTTAGTACCAACTGCACGACTTGCTCTGACACGACGACCCCCAACACTGGGGGAATGTACCCCCCCTTCAACGTCACTCGAGCAGTGACACGTATCCAGTGGAGGATGCGCAGTTCGCTCGATCCAGCGTTTGTGTTGTTGCTGGTGTTTGTGCTCTCGTGATCGTCGACGTGGGGATTGAACTGGATGGAGAGGCTGGTTTCGTGGCCAGGGCTCACCGTGCCTTTGAGTGGCTCCAATGTAAAGTACTTGCGGTACTTTTCCATCAAGCTGATGCCGTTGCCAGATTCAAACACAACCTCAAACGTCGTGGGGGTGCTGCTCTTGCCGTCCGAGAACGACGGCGCATGTCCTTCGTCGCCTTGGGGGCCGATGCTGCCAATGACAACATGTTGCAGGTGGGCCTCCGACCCAAACTCGACTTGAATCAGTCGCGGGGGTTTCTTCACAAAGTCGGCCAGCGCCAGCGGGGTCGACACATGCAGCGGCAGTTCGAACACGTCTTCATTTGGAGGAGGCGAAGATGCGTTGGGGTGAAGCATGTACGTCTGGCACTCCCAGCATCGCCCCTAGAATACCCCAAACCCTCGCTTAGTAGATATTACTTGGAGCTAGTCAGTACCTGGAGCACAATCACGTGGTCTTCGGTTTGGTTGGGTACATCCACACGGAACGTTGTCGTGTACTCGGTGGGCCGTTCGTGGTCGGGACTAACAAGTGTTGTAAACAAAATGACCATCTTGACGATAGTGTACTTACCTAAACGTGGCACGCACGACCTGGGTTTCACCTGGCGGGATCGACGCTTCGTTTGGAATGCACGAAAATACACTGGTTTGGTTGAAATTTGGGTGGGTGGTGCCGTTGTCGAGCGACTTGATCGTGTACTTTAACGGAAACAACGACGAATTCAGGAGGGAAAACTCCGTGTACCCTTTTTCCCTTGCTAGCACCGGTTTGAAGTGGATTTTGCCGTCGGCGGGCGTGATGCTCAGCACGGGGCTGACACCCTAGACATATCACGTCGAACAACCAACCAATTAGTAGCCTCGTGATATGTGCCATGTCGTTATGTACCTCTCCGTGGAGACTCACGCGCATGTCCCCTCGCGCCGTCTGGAGGACTAAATCTTCTCGAAAGATCAAGGGCGCCGACGGGGCAAACTCGACAAGTATCGTCTACATCAAGTGAGACAGCAGGTCTAAGGGTTATTATACACACGATGGTGTACCCGAAGCCCGCCGTGTGCGTTGACGACGCGCAGGGCGTTGAGGATGGAGAACGGCCCGACGGAATGCAGCGGCACCATCGTCATGTCGAGGTCGATGGCGGAATTGTTGATCACTTGGAGCTTCATCACCCCCGTTTGCCCCACCGCCACTTGGCCAAACTCGATCTTGTCCGGTTTCAGAGAGATTTCGGGGGCGATCACAGACACGTTCACGCGGAAACTCTGGGGCCCTTGGCTTGCACATCCGTCGACAAAGCAAAAGACGTTGTACGTGCCGTGGTAGCTCTTGGGCTCCGACGGCAACGCATAACTCCACGAGTGCTCTGACTTGGTGGGTTGGCTTTGGTCGTCCTCGTGGTGCGACGGATGGACGAGGCCGGGAATGGCGTCGGGTCGGCTGACTTGAAAGTGGACATTCGCGCCATCGTCGGAAGGATTTTCCGGTTGAAACGATTCGACAGTCTTGGGTCGGAATTCAAACTCGATGCGGATCGAACTGTGCGCTTCCACGGTGGCCACCAGTGGTCGAATGTGCAGCACCTACATATCATCACACTCTTAACAAGATGACGGGTATGTCCGAGTATTATCGTACGTTGGTAGCTTCGGGGGGCAGCGCAATCTCCATTTTCTGGCTCGTGGCGCTCATGTTGGTGCACACAACGCTATGGACGACGAACTGGCCCACCGGGACGGCACCCATCGTAATGACCGTTTCGGAAAACCGCAGCGCTGGCGATATCCCGTGGCCCGTGCACGGGATATCGTACGTCCGATTCAAGGTCGTGGCACACGTAAGCGAGCTCTTGAATTCCGTGGCCGAGAGGGGACTGTAAAACACGGTCACGGCGGTCGTTTCCAGGGGCAGGAGCGTGCCGAAGCCGTCGTTGGGCTCGACGCGAATCTCCGGGGGGATGTGGACAAACCCAAACTTTTGGGGCAGGCGCGACGGGTTGGTGAGCACGAGGCGCTGACTCACGCTTTGTGTGGTACTGCACGGCCCGAACGAGAGCGACGGCGCCGAAAATTGCAGCTCCCCCGACGTCAACTGGACCCGCAGGACAAAGTACACGGGAAGAACTTGGTCGGGCACGAGCACTTGCAGGGGAAGGGCCACGACGTCGCCTTGCTTCCATCCCAGTCGCCGTTTTAGCACGGCTGGCCAGATGGATTCTACGGGGCGGAACTTGACTTGAATCTCCAAGCGGCCGGGCTCAACGACGGTGGTGGTGGTAGATGTGGTAAGGCTGCCTTGGACAAAGCCAAAGTTCGGTAGAAATTCCAAACACTGGTGCAAATACGGCGGCACTTTGAGCTGGCACTTCATCGCGACTTTGCCCCGGTTGCGAAGGATCAGCTTGTTGCGGTACAGCTTGCCATACACACAACATTTGAAGTCCATGATCGGATGTTCGACATACAGCGGCACTTCCACCGCTTGGGCGACCACGGTCACCTCCAACGGAGCCACATGGCTCGGCGAATCAAACACCACGTGAAACGTCTGGCACAGGTCCGCCACGGTGCGGTGCGGCGCAAATGTAAACGCAATGGGACACGACCCGTACGCTTCCACCTGTCCTTCACACGTCGTCGTGATCGATTGGATGGTTTTGTCGTGGTTCACTTGGCCAACAGACGAAGCATATTGCAGTAGCGCTTCCTCTGACGCGTAGCAAGCCGACGCCGCTTCGTCGACTACTGTCGCGCAAGTGTCGTCGCCGTCGGGCTGCTGTATCGACCCTTCCAAGACCACTGCAGAGCCCTCGGCGGCGGCTACAGGATCAACGGCATCCGGAACTGCACACTCGTCAACCAAACAGCCTCCATCTACCACCACCGCTGCCGTAGTCGCCTTCGTGGAGGCAGGTGCTACGATGCGAAACGTGCCTGGAAGGGCGCCGTCATTCCGCAAGATCACGACTTGCTTGCTGGTTTCTCCCACGACAATATTGGAGTACGTGAGATTGTACGCACTTAGTACGGGCACGACACGCTTGGCGGTGCATTTCACAGGAATCGAGAAGTATCCCGTCTTGGCCACGGCAGGGAGTTCCACGTCGATGTCCTGGTTCACTCTGGCACAAAACGTCACGTGGATGTGACACGTCATGCCAGCACTCATTCGACCCGGGAGGTCGTACTGAACGTCAAAGAAATCTCGCGTGTCATCTGGAAATGGCAGTAGCTTGAAGTGGTTGAATGTGTTGCTGACGTTCGTGAGCGTGAACCGCAACGTCTGCGGGCGGCCCACATCAAAGTCCTTGAACCAAAGAACCTCCGGATCCGCCAAGAAGGCGCGGCCCACAAACTCCTTTCGCCACACGATCTGCTTCTCGATGAGGTTCTCCTTCTGCTTGGCCAGGGCCTGGACGCGCATGTGTTCCTCCAACTTGCTGCGCTTGGGCACCCCAAACCCCTTTTTCACGTCATTCTGTTTTGCAGCTAGGCTCGGTAAATGCGAGTGTGGTTTCTGCGGTGTACTACTACCCCCCCCATGCAAGTGGACCATCTCTTTCCCGGGAGGATCTACGATCGGAGGCAGCAGCAATAGCTCTGGCTCCCCCCCTTGGTTGTTGTGTGGGGTGGTTGGTGGCTTTGCTTTAGGTTTTGGCAACCCACGGGGGTTGATCTGAACGTTTGCGTGCTCTGGTTTGGCCGCCACCATGTCGATCACCTACGTTGTGTCAGGGTTGCTTATCCATGCGCTTAGAGTACCTTGTCCCGCTGGTCGCGTGACTTGACGCTGCTTTTCCCCAACCCAAACGAATGATCCTTCATCACCGTCACCTGACTCGGGTCGATGCGAAAGGTCCGACCGGTCGGGTCCACCAGCTCGCCACCTGTGCGTGAAATCATGTAATTCTGCGTCCGGTCCTCGACGACTTTTCGGCCGAGTTCCTTTTGGTACTTGCGCACGTACGCGGCATGGCGCTTGTCCGCTTCGTCGCGTTTTTGACTGAGCGCGGCTTCGTGCACCATATGCGCGGCAATGTCCATCTCCGTCTCTTTGATCTTCTTCTTCTGCGTCGCTAGTTTCTTCGCGGCCCGCGCGGCGATCTCCCGTGCGCGGAAGACCTCGTACGGGTTCTTACCCGCCGCGAGCAACTCTTGGAACTCCCTGTCTTGCGATCGAGCCAACGCGTCGGCATCGGCATTCCGCTTCTCGTTCTTCCCGCACAAGTCTGCAAATGCTTTCTCCGTGTTGGCTTTGAGTTCCAGCACAGCGCTGGTCCGACCGCGATGTTGTTCGGCTGCGCGCTCTTTGAGTCGTCGTTGAACTTTCTCCACTAGCACAGCGCTATCGTCGTTGTACTTGGACTCCTCGTCCTGCGGTTGATCCGACATTGTACCCCCGTGTGTGTTGGGTGAAGATGCCTGTCGTCTTCGTATCTTCTTCGTATCACGTTCACCTACTGCGCCATGCAGCGTCGTCAAGGCCGTCGTGTTGTCCCCCGCGGCGGATTATTTGAATATTTATACCTATGGTTTGTATGGTATACGTGACGCAAGTGACTTGTGCCGTTTCCGAAAGGTCGCCAAGGTGAAGTAGGAAGATGACCTGTGAAGCGTTCCTACATGCCATGGAGATGCATATCGCTCGTGATATGTGTGTCATTAAGGTGCTCAATAGGACTCCCTACCATCAACAGCCCCCTCCGTGTAGCCATCGATGATCCGCGATAGAATCATCCACAGCTTGAGATGACAGTTCCAGTAGTACATTGGTCGATGTAACTGTCGTTAATCCACCATTCTCATGAGATGGAAGCACCATGCATTGTGGGACGCAGTGTACGCGGACGACTACCCGCGGGTCCAACGACTCCTGGAGACACCGTCAGGAGCAGAGAGCGTGAATGTACCGCACGGGGTGTGTCGTCGCCATGGAGGGGCATGCAGACATTTACGAGAAAGAGGGTTGTTGTAGGTGTGGAGCAACACAGCCGTGCATGTGGCAGTGCAACGCGGGAATCGAAGGATTCTCAACATCCTTGTCGTGTTCAAAGGCGACGTCAATGCAATCAACGTACGTAACCCATCAAAGCCACCTACCTTCACCATGGTAACATAGATCAACGGCACCACGCCGCTGCATATCGCCGTCGAGACGCGGAATCACGACCTTGTTCAGTACCTCCTGGAATGCGATGCCAAACCAAACAAACGTAATGTACGTACGTGCGTCTCTTTTAGACGCATTGTAACATCGGACACACTAGTTCACGCGAAAGTCGCCGCTCGAGTTGGCGAGGGTCATGATGGACAAGGACATGGCCAAGATGCTGCAGGAAAAGCATAACTTAGACATGGGGCGCAGGTCATCGACCGCCGACTTGGCGGCAATGTCCTGACAAGCAGTTTATTATATTTCGTACAATCCCATACGTTAATCCATATGATAATTATTGAATTGAAGTTTAAAATACACCCGGATATATGATATAAAGGCCAGAGCGAAGTTTTGCGTAGTTACAATGAGCGCGCTGCTAACGAAGCGGGGTCGGCCGTCCGATGGCCCCGACTCATTGGGTCCCAGCGCAGGGCAAAAGTCACGTCAGTTGGAGCCAGACAGCGAAGACGGCATGCTGATCAACACACGATGGACCCCGGAGCAGGTACCGCTCGTCCCAACGTGATGTCCTCAGATTTGAGCAGGATGAACTCTTGCGCGAGGCCATCGACGCATTTGGCAGCAAGAACTGGAAGGTAGGACATATGTTGTGGACTGCATGGACTGATGAAACGGACAAAGGCGATCGCGGATCGAGTGCCAGGGCGCAACCATGCCCAGTGTTTGCAACGATGGAACAAGGTGCTCAAGCCCGGCCTCATCAAGGGTCATTGGGCGGCCGACGAAGACGACCTTCTCATCCAACTCGTGCAAGCATCCACCACCGTAAGCTGGGGCGAACTCTCGAAATTGATCGATGGGCGCACGTACGACCATACTTCCGTCGGACGTCGTCAATAACGTCGACAATTAGGGCGAAGCAGTGCCGCGAGCGGTGGAAGAACCATTTGGATCCGTCAATCAACAAAGGATCGTACTCGTCTGAAGAGGACATGCTCCTCACGGCGGCGTACGCAGAGCTCGGAAACCGCTGGACCCAGATCGCCGATCGCATGCCGGTATGGTATGTTGATATGTCGACCAATCGTCCTTACATGTTGACAGGGACGCACGGAGGATTCAGTGAAAATGCGGTGGAAAGTGCTCCATCCCCATTCCAAACCCCCAACCAAGCAAGGCCGCCCGCCGCTGATGACGCATCATGCCAAGTCCACTGCATCTTCTCCTGCATCCCCCGCGACTCGACACAGTAGCAACAATCCTCGCCATGTTCCCCAGCTATCCTTTGCACCCGTACAAGCAACGCCTGGCGGCGCGTTCACAGACACCCCTCGTCATCTCCACCAGCGGTATCCCGAGGACGAACCACACTTTGCTCATCATCATCCCGACCCGTCAGCATTGGATCCGGACGCGGCAGACCTCATGTCTCGGCGCGCGTCGTCCATGTTTGAAAGTTTCAAGGAGCGGGACAGTTCACTGCTGAGTTTTGCCAGCGTCAAGGCCGAAGACTGGGAATTCTTCCGCGAATTGGTCCTGAGCGACCACTTTGCCCAGGCGATGCCCGCGGCGCCCGTGGAAATGGTGTCCATCTTCGATTCCTTCAAAGACACTAGCATGACGGATGCCGAGTTCCGGCAGCTGGTCGGCGTGATTGAAAACCCCGACGCGATCATGGACTTTATCCACGAAACGTATGCGTCCGTCAACGAAGATGGCGGTTGTCCGGCGTACATACCGTCCCAGTTGCTGTCGGATCAGTTGGACACTCGGCTGGTGCTTGGCGACTACGAACGATCGCCAGAGGTGCCGCGGGAGTTTTCAGAACCAACGACGTTTGGGTCGTACGGGAGGAGACATGTCCTACACACGGAAAGCCTGCACGCGCATGTAGATCGCACCGCCAGTGGTTTCGATGGCGATGATGACGATCATGATGATGATGATGACGCCTTGTTGCAACCGTTCCACGTCTACAAGCGCCGCTAGCCACTATCTGTACATGCGAAAACGGAACACGATTACATTTAACATTACTATTGTACTTTCGAATGTTGTGGCGTGGTTTCTCGTTGGAATTTAAATCGATTTGATTGGCTACTTCAGATGAGCTCAAAGTTATTAGCCAATCAAACCCATTTCTCAATCAGATCGATTGTGGATTGGTTTGGTCGGAGCGATTCGATTGCCCCAAATTTGTATTGTGCTTTTCACTGAACTTTGGACTTCGCAGTCGAAACTTCAAAGCGATTTCGAATGTATTTTCCATGTTTTCCCCGACTGATTTTACCCAATCCGAAGCGACAGGGCACGAGACTGGTAAAATCTCTGGAATGGAGTGATGTGATTGGCTTAAGACATTCATAATCTCTTTGTTTAGGCTATTCGATCGCCTCCCCAGTCCAATGTAGTGTTGAATACACAATATCAAATCGACAATACAGTACGAGTACTAGTATACTAGTATACACTCGTCATCGTGAATTGTTAGACAGGTACTAACTACCGTACGTTGTAAGTACTACGTAAGTTAGTTAGTTAGTAGTATGTACTACGTCGTACTGCAGTACTCATTGTACTACGAACGTATGAATACGATCGTACGCGTATTTGCAGTGAAAATGGACCAATGCCCAAAGTAGGGTTTGATCGTGTACCCCCGTTCAAAGTGGCGCCAATTAAGCGGTCATGTATCGATTTTAACGTCAAAAGGGTGAGTCTGGATATATACGTATAGTATGAAAAAACACGCCAAAATTGTCGATATATTGGCAATTTCTATCAAATCGCCGCAAAGTGAAAATTCCTCTGGATCCAACATTTGGAGGGTTAAAAAAGTGCTTTTTCTATTTTCGCCAAAACAAAAATAGAAAAAGCACGTCGAGGGACTTGTTTTTACTCACAATATGTAACTGATTCTCTCGAAAAATCTGTTTGAAAATCCAGACAGTCACACAACCACATTCTTCTATCCTTCAAATGTCCCAATTCTGTCAAACCTTCGCTGCGACATTTGGTTGGCTACCAAATAATCCGCAGAAAGGACATGGATAATAAATAGTACGAAACGTGTAGCCAATCAACAAAGAGAACTTTCTGAATCCATCCGTCCGGATAGAAAACACCATTTGTCGTCCGGATGACATGCAACCTCGCAACAACAAATATAAATCATCACGTCGCGAACAACGTTCCCTCGTTGAATATGCTGTGGAAAGATATTATACTCGCAGTACATAAGTGGGAGTGTGTGGATCTTCTTATATGTGTCATTGGGCCAAGTGGTCGATTTGGTTGTCGACACAGGACGAGATGAGTCCGTCGATGTCGTCGTTGTTGAGAAATGAAGTGTTGTTGAGGAAACTCAACCCGGCGTTGCTCGTGTTGGACGTGGTCGACGACAGTTTCGTGAGCGATTTTTTGAGGGTCGTCTTGTTCTCGAGCATCGCATCGAACTCCTGCATGCTGATATTGAAGCTGCGACGAATGGCTTCTTCGTCGTGGGGCCCAAACGACGCAAACAAAGAGTCGATCAGCGCTTCTTCGTCCACGGTCGGGTTGTGTTCGATCTTCTTGAGTGTGTTCAAGAACGAGTCGGTCAGTTGGAACGACCCAGCGAGAGGCCGCGCCGCCGTCGTTGGGGGAGGAGCAGTGTAGTCCCAATCTGTCACGTGCGGTCGCTTGGAAGGGGCCGCGGTGGAATCGTCCACAGCTAACTCGTCCAGCATGGAAATCACGTCCGACCCCATTACGTTCGACATCTGTCGCGGCCGGGTCATCGGCATCTCGACAACACGACGTTGTGGAGGCGGCGTCGGTGCTGAACGAGTCGTCGCTTTCGACCGATCCAATCGATGCGGGTGCATAGTCTTCCAGCGCAACTTGACATCGTGCTCTGATCGCCCTGGCAATCGCTTGGCAATTTCGGTCCACCGATTGCCCAGTTCTTCGTACGCGTTTTCGAGAGCGATTTCTTCATCCGTCGTGAACGCCGACTTGATCAACGACGGATCTAAATGGTTGCGCCACCTGTCCCGACACTGCTTGGACCTACACACCAATACATCCGATGACTCATCGTGGACATGCACACATGACGTGTGTCGGTGGTTTGAACGTACGATCGTCCAGGCACGCCTTCCGCAATCTTGGACCATGACTCTGAGTGCGACTGTTCCACGCGACTGCGCAGGAGCTGATCCTCCATCGCCGTCCACGAGCCCATGATTTTGTTCATCGTTGCCTGCGGTAAAAGTAACTCTGGCGCCAGCATTCCCAATTTTCCTGTCCTCGATTCTGACCAATCAAATGCGTTCATCATCGCTGTTGAAATGCACAGCTTTCATTGGCTAAAATATATATATCACGCCAATTTTGGACGGCCAATCACTCTCGTGGAGGACATGCATTCCCATTTAAGAATTCGACACTTTTCTCGTGGGTATTTCGACTACGCTGTACAAATCTGTCACCGGTTACCCTTGCAGCGACCAATCAAAAACAAGCACCTGCACTGCGATTGGTTTAAAAGATGACCCATCTGATCAATAGTTTAGCTGAATGGATTGGCCAAGTGACGGGAGAGGAGCCAGCACCGAGTTGCCGAGTTGGATGCACACAGTCAGACTTGGATCAACCCAAATGGCAACCCAACAGAATGGCACGAGCTTCGACCTGTTGCAGCCCACGTACAATGATAACTTGGTCATGAACGGAGCGATGACACACGCGATGCATGTAGGAAACGAAGGTTTAGCGAGCCGGCGGAAGCCGTGGTAGGCACGGCGGGCAAGTGGACCTTGGCCGAAGACACGGCGCTTCGTGCGGCCGTCGAGCAAAATGGGAATGAAAACTGGAAGGTTCGCGAAACATCTTGAGAGAGTCCATGTTGATGCTCACGTCCTCACGTACCACGACCAGGCGATCGCGGACCTTGTACCCGGGCGCAACCATTCGCAATGCCTGCAACGTTGGAACAAAGTGCTGAAACCCGGTCTGATCAAGGGCACGTGGTCCCAAGATGAGGACGCGCTCTTGAGGCAACAGATTCAGATCCATGGCGACCAAGAATCATGGGTCAAGGTGGCCGAAGGCGTCCCCGGTCGCACGTACGTTGCCGAAATGTCATCTCGACGTTCCAACCAGGTTTGTAGGACAAAGCAGTGCCGCGAGCGTTGGCGGAACCACTTGGCCCCGTCCATCAACCGAAAGTACACACGTCGAAACCCCATGATTCGTTAACGAGTTTTCTATAGTCAATTTTCACCGGCCGAGTTGGCGCTGTTGGAGTTTGTGTACAATAAGATTGGCAACCGGTGGACGTTGGTGGCCAAGTTGCTTCCGGTACAAACGAATAGTGACTATGGTCGAGTTATGACGTGGCACGTGCAGGGACGAGCGGAAGACGACATCAAGAAAAAGTGGAGGCAACTACACCCCAAGCAAGAAAAGAAGCGCGCGGGTCGGCTGCCCAAGCTCGACATTACCGAGCTCATGGATTCAATCAAGGTCGAGATCAGCCTTGGGAGACTGCCACGTATGGACTGGATCTACACACTGCACTTGGACAACAACTTTTCATTGGACGACGACGACGACAAGGAGTCGCTGTACAGCGACACGAGCAGCAGCACCCACGGAGCGGACGCGCCATTCCGGCCGCCGTTCTTGTCCAAGAAGAAGAAGCTCGAGTGGGGCCAAATGTCGTTGGAAATCCTCACGCAGCTCGTGCTCACGGCGTCGTTCCGACAGCTCAATCTGGACGACATGGACGAAACCACCAACTTCAACACACACTCCAACTGGATCATGAACATGGAGGACGACCCGGTCGTCGCGCGGGTACTCAACTCGTTCCGTGCCGACTCGTCGAACGGCGTCGAGGGCATCCTGCAGGATCTGGACGCGGACGACATGAACCATTTGATTGGCGTTGCGAATGCGGCCGCCCAGCAGCAGCAGCAACAGCAGCAGCAACAGCAGCAGCAGCCTCCGTCACAACCGTCCAATCAGTTGTTCCACGAATGATCGTCCTTTGAGAGTGTGTGTGCTTTACAATAATACATGGCAACGATGGTGTACGTACTGGGTTTTGTATTCGAGGTTGAGACTGGCTTAGACAATAACATGGACGCACGAGGTCGTGGAAAGTGACGTGTAAGTAAACTGCACTACTATTAATATATCATACGTAGTACTAGTTAGTCGTACAGCTACGCAAGATGATCAAGCTTGGTTCCGTTAATGAGTGGTTACTCGACTGGCGGCGGTACTGCAAGCGCGCCAGGAACTGGAAAGTCAAAGTCAGGGCCAAAGTTAGCACTCACAGTGCCAGGGCCGTAGATGGAGACACAGGGAAAGTACTCGGCTATGGCAAAACAAGTGTATATATGTCGTACAGGTTCCAGTGGTGTGAGTGATGTCGTACCGAAAGGTAGGTTGTCAAAGGCAATGCCTTGGTCCTTGCCATTCACAAAGAAGCGAATGTACGAATTCTCGTCCGCGCCTACGAGTACACATTACTATGAGGCCACATGGGGCTCAACTTCATGGACAGAACGAACGTCGTGGTGACGAGACATGGGCCAGCAAGTCGCTCGACTGTTTAACCAGAGACGGTGGAACGAACCGACCTAGTGATGTACCTGTTATCTTTGGAATGATCAAGCACGTATTGTACCCGGGAGAGATGGAGCGACGGTGTCCACGCTTTTGTCTTCGCTCGAGTCCCCATTCACACAGATCATGGCACCCACAGTGTCACCCACTCCTACGTGATGTCAGTATCCAAGATGCGCTAATAAGGAAGCGAGGTACCAAAGCTGTCGCCGTAGGGACCACTGCGTTTGCTTTTGTGCATCGTTTCGCCCCCAATGTCTCGATATCCATAGCTGTGTTCGTCAAATCCAACTGGCGCGTTGATGTCGGCCTTCTTTGTGCCCCATCCCACGCGAACATGGTAGGCTTCGATTGCTCCGAGAAGCTTCAATTCAAAGTAATACGTGCCTCGCGTCACACATGCATTTGTCCTTGCCATGCAGAAGCCCTACGAGCGTCCCCTGAGCCCTTGAACCCTTGTCTCATCGCGTACCTTGGTTCCCGACACGGTCACGCCGTCGTCGCCAAAAAGAAGAAGTGGTCCTTTGTCCAGCCAGCGCACCAACGTAGAACACTTCACATTGTCCTTTGGTGGCGTTCCTGGAACTGCATCGTCCTTCGTTTCATCAAGTCGAAGCCGCTTCGTCGGCGTGTTGTCGTCCGGGTGCCGTGGTATAGTCGTCGCCATGAAGGTATATCCGGATACGTATAAATGAGATCAGTTTACCGTACAGTTTGCGAGACTGCCAAAAATCTCGCAAACATACGTTTTCTTTTGTAATAATAATAGAAGTCGAAAAATCAATCTTGGTCCACAAACCAAAATATATGCAAATTAATACGTCATAGCCTCTATAAATTGATATTTCCAGGACGAAATGAATTTGGGTTTGCCCCAAAATTCTTCTATCCGGAAGAATTTGACGAGCGTATTTTCGTTTGCGAGATTTTTGGCAGTCATCCAGTGACATTCTTCTTACTGTTAATAGCACGGTGAACCAGATGGGTATAAAACACGTAACAAACAGGGCGGGCTCAGAATTAGACTTGTTTTTTGTATGTAATGTCATCGTGTCGAGATAATATGCAATAGAATACCATGTTGATACAAATACCTAGTGTATTAAAATGGTTGGTTTGGTGTCTCGGACGTCCTTTATTCAAAAACGGTTTTGCAGGTTCAACCATTTTGGGATGGGCGCGCAGATTGCTCGCGAGGACCGCCGCGAGAGCGTCGATGGATCGCAAGTGTCGGCGGGAGAGCCACGGGGAAACGGCTTGTTCAGCTTCACCGGCAACCTCAATGCAGAAACGTCGTCGACACAAGGATCGCGCTTTGTGATCGGCGTGTGTGCGATGGACAAGAAGGCGAATTCCAAACCGATGACCGAAATCTTGTCGCGGTTGCCGAGGCACACGTTCTCCATTGTCCTGTTTGGAGATGACATGATACTCAATCACCCTGTGGAAGACTGGCCGCTTTGTGATGCCTTGATTGCGTTCTTCTCCACAGGATTCCCATTGGAAAAGGTACGACAACGATCTTCACGCGTCTGTCCAGGCTTTAATGGCGCTGTTGGGACTATCCAGGCGATGGAATACGTCGAACTGCGTCAACCGATCGTCGTCAACGACTTGTCCAAGCAGAACCTGCTCATGGACCGGCGCGACGTATACCGCGTGCTGAAGGACCATGATATCCCGACCCCACGGTCTGTTCTCGCGAAGCATCGTAAGACATCGTCTGATCTTGCCGTGTAGCCACATCTTTGTCAATCGAGACCGGTACGATGGAGACAACGACGGCCACGGACTAGACGAAGCGAACTTCATCGAGAGCGACGACTACGTCGAGTTGAACGGCGTGCGCATCCACAAGCCGTTCGTCGAAAAGCCCGTCAACGGCGAAAACCACAATATTTACATCTATTACCCGACCAATGCCGGCGGTGGATGCAAGCACTTGTTCCGCAAGATTGGCAATCGGTCATCCGAGTTTCATCCGAACGTGATCAACGTCCGTCGCGAGCCGGGGCAGTCGTACATTTACGAAGAGTTCATCTCGACCCAGGGCACCGACGTCAAGGTATACACAGTCGGGCCCAACTACGCGCACGCAGAAGCGCGCAAGTCGCCCGTGCTGGACGGCAAAGTCATGCGCGACGCCGTGGGCAAGGAGATTCGGTACCCCGTGATCCTCTCGACGCATGAAAAGGAGATCGCGTACAAAGTGTGCCGCGCGTTCGGCCAGACCGTGTGCGGATTCGACATCCTTCGCGTCGGCAACGAATCGTACGTGTGCGACGTGAACGGGTGGAGTTTTGTGAAGAACTCGCCCAAGTACTACGACGACTGCTCGGTGCTGCTCCGCCAATTCCTCGAGCGCGCGCTGGCGGGGTTTGCCGACCCGTACGAAAGCATGCACTCCCCCACGGACCGGCTTCTCGGCAACAGTTCGTCCATGTCGCTACTGGACATGGGGGAACGCAGTGGCGCCGACCACGGCGAGGTAGTATTGTGTTTCTTTTCCCCAAATGTTTGGTTGTCTTTTGTGCTGATTCTTTGCCAAATCCCAATATCGATCGATCGATTTTCGTGGTACTGTGAATTTTGTATGTAAAAAAGTGTCCTGTGGTGATTGGTGGTATCACACTAATTGAAGTCACACACTAATTTGACATTGATGATGGTGGTTTCCTGCAACCTGATTGGCTACATCCTTCTGCCGATGATATTTGTGTCCATATATTTTTGGTTGTGTCGATTCTTTATTCTCCATGTCACTCGCTCCAGTTTAGAATATAAACGACGTTGGTCGGGGGAACAAGATATGACACCATGTTGCGTTGAATTTCAGCTTTCTTTCAATATATATTTCCACCATGAGCGGATATATTTCACGTAATAACCAGTGTCTCTCATGTTGCTTGTGTGTGGGTTGGTTGTAGGATGGACGGCCGTCGGAAATGCACTCGCCTGGGTTCCACGATCCACTGGACAACGAAGGCCAGGAAGAAGAGCTGCGATGTGTGCTAGCCGTGATTCGACATGGCGATCGCACCCCCAAGCAAAAGATGAAAATGCTCGTGACGCACCGTCGGTTTCTCGCGTTTTACGAAGACCGCGTGGGCCAAGGCAAGAAGAAGGATTTGAAGATCAAGACCATCAAAGATCTGGAAGAACTGTTGGCCGTGAGCAAGCAAATGATCGACCAACCAGCCCACAACGACGAGTTGGAGAAGGACCAGTTCAAGGGCATTTGTACCCTGCGCGACGTGCTCGAACGATGGCAGCTGTGCGGGATCAACCGGAAAGTCCAAATGAAACCTCGCGCGTGGACCCACGACGACCAAAGTACGACTCCCCATGGTGTTGTCGTAGGTGGATTGTGATCCTGTCGAGTTAGATGACGATGCGAAAGAAGAAGAAGAAGAAACTGACGGATCGCTCAATAAGGTTGTACACACATACATCTCTTCGTTATGGGGCCATCCATATATACGTATGTACTGTATGTGATCATCCTGAAAATTGCTTGTAGAAATGTCGAGTGACCCAGTTGCTTGTGATCGTCAAATGGGGCGGAGACCTGACCCATTCCGGCATCCAGCAAGCCGAGTCCCTTGGCCAGCATTTTCGTCAGATCATGTACCCCGGCGGAGACGGAGGGCTGCTTCGCCTGCATTCGACGTACCGCCACGACTTGAAGATCTACACGAGCGACGAAGGGCGCGTTCAAAAGACGGCAGCGTCGTTTGCCAAGGGTCTGTTGGAATTGGAAGGCGACATCGTGCCCATCTTGGTGAGTTTGGTGCTCAAGTCGAAAGACGCCGACTCGATGCTGGACCAGTCGGGATCGTCGGCGCAGGAGATGATCTTGCAAGTGAAAGAGCGCCTGCACAACATTTTGCATCGAGGGGACGACTGCGGACTCCTCCGGACCAACTCGTCGTCTCGGTTGGTGCGCAGTGTCGCCGCGGCGTTGGACGTGGTGGAGCAACCCATGAAGAAGATGGAACGTATGCACAAGTTGCTCAATTCGTTAAAGGAACAGCTGACGACATTTCTCGACAACGACGCCACGGAGAAGGCTGAAAACGCGATCACCGCCACGGCATTCGAACGTGAGCAGCTCGCGTGGGCGTACAAACCGCCGTCGCTGGAGCGCCAAGGATCCGAGACGAGCGTTGTGTCGTGTTTGGAGCCAGTGGCCGACGCGACCGAGCACCGGTCGACTGTGAGTTCGGCAGGCGCGCGGCCGAAGAAACCGGCCGAGCACATGGCCAACAAGACGCACACCAGGTCCAGCATGGACCCGTCGTCCAAGAAGAAAAGGGAGCCGTGTGGCCGGGAAACCCTCGAGATGATGCGCGAGCGATGGGCCAAGCTGTACCGCGATTTTTACTCCAAGAAGCACAACACGTACGACTTGTCCAAGATCCCCGACATCCACGACTGCATCCGATACGACGCCATGCACAACGCGCACTTGTACCTCAGTGGCATTCGCGAACTGCTCGACATCTCGGCGTCCCTAGCCCACGCGCTGGTACCCCAGGTACTAGTCGAATCTTTCTACGAAAGAAAACACTATATATATATGTATGTAGGAGTACGGCATTGACGTGCACGAAAAGCTTCACATTGGCACCAACATGTGTCGGTCTTTGCTCAAGAAAGTTCGCGACGACTTGGATTTGGCCCGCGGGTTCAACATCACCCATCGACTCAACCCGACGTTTGCCACGACTGACCACCTCATCAAGTCAGCGCACCGGTCGGTTCGCACCCGGCTGTACTTTACCAGCGAATCCCACCTCCACACATTGCTCAACGTTTTGCGGCACAGTGTCACAGGCCAAGACGAGAACGCTCCCGTGAGTCGGGAAGCTGTGAAATTCGTCGAGGACATTCCAGAGCTGTGCTACATGACGCACATTGTCGTGCGAGTGTTTGAGCGAGGTGGGTTCGTACACTCGTAATCATGTCTGAATTCTTGGTGTAGGGGGCTATCATAGCTTAGATCCGCATCGATTCCGCGTCGAGTTGTCGCTGTCCCCTGGCGCCACTGGCGACCCCCTGACCGAATTCTCCCCGAAAGAGCCGCTGTCGGTGGCGCCATTGAAGGTCATATCTCGAGAAGGCCTGACATGCCAAGAGTTCCAGGACTACATTTGCAGCGTGATTGCCTTTGGAAACTCCAAGCCACAGCCAGAATAACACACAAAGTCACAAAATGCGATTGAATACGTCATTGGTTGTCGTGGGTTGTTTCCGGTTGTTCCATGGGGCACTGACTCATGTCTCGCTTGATGGTGGGGGACGGAGGCGGTGGCTCACACGCTTCCGGCTGGCGACTCTGGGGCATGGTCGACTCAAAATGCGAAATCTCGTCGTCCTTGGACTTCAAGTGCACGAACTCTTCCTTGCCAGTGTCCAAGTGCACGATTTCTTTGTTCAGTTCTTCCGACTGCTCAAAGTACGTGATTTCGCGGTGGGCAAACTCGCCCGTGGTCGATTCCATGTGGATGATCTATGTATATATTATATATAATCATGAATTAATATATATATATATATATATATATTAAATAATCACGAATTAATATATATATATATTATATATAATCATGAATTAATATATATATGTGTGACATGGTCGGAGCCTACCTCGTGCTGGTGTTTTTCCTTTTCAATCAAATGTTGAGGGTTGCCGTCGTCGTCGATCTTGGTGTATTCGACAATGCGCTCTTGGATTGTAATTTCGCGCTTTTTCCAAAGGCCTGGCGTTAGGACACGAGTTGCCGCCCCTGCTACTTGTGGTTTTGTGAGGGTTGTTAGGAGCGCTAGCTGATTTTCCTTAAGGGGCGACCGTTGGTTGTTGTTGCTTGGGGGCGGAGGCACTTCGTGGGAGTTCTACAACATATTATAACTCGACAGGACAAACGAGCTGCTGCGAAACGTACCACGACCGGACTTTGTTGCGATGGGGTTTCACATCTCTACAGGAAGGTATTATGATATGGCAAACTGGACGGCTAGAACGACTACGTACTGGAAGCGACGGCGACGCATATTGGAGGAATCGTAAAAAGTCGGCGTACCCCACGCGGTTGTCCTGAGATGCAAAGTCATTCATACCAATGGAAATGTCAATTCACAAAAGATTTTGGGGTAGCCGTCGTACCGCTTGAACGTTGAAGAGCCTGATGAGGGCGTCTTTGCGCGGCAGTGGGATCTGCAAATAGGCGCACAAGGCATCGCAATCCATGTAGTCGACGCCTGTCTAATGCAGGTTGACGTGATTGGCATTGGGCTGATGGGCGTACCGAACTGTCGTGGCGACACAGCCCTTGAAACTGCTGCGCTAGCGTCTTGGACTCTGAGTGGCGAAGGTTGAACGCTTTCATAGCCACAAAGCACTGCAACTTCTTGGCCCCTGGAAGCGCTTCCACGGATCCTCCAGCTCCCATATCGACGTTATTTGGCAACAACATACCTGCCTCCAACGCGCCTATTATTAGCCTCGAGTTGAACTACACTACCCAGAGCATGCGCTCTTGAGCTAGAGGTGTATGACAGCAATTGCTATACCGTTTTCAATAATGGCTACAGCCGTAAGACCGTACTCGTTCGTAATGCATCGTTGCTAAACCTCTGTCTAGACGTCATTTCTGTGGTGCAAGAGGTGTCTTGTCCTCGCTTTGAAGGTTAATATATCATAATATATATAGGCCTGACGAGGTGCTGACAATGTAGGCCACCATTTTTAGACAGTGGACAACAAGGACTAACAATTCAACAATGCACCCAATGCTTCATTGCAGAGAGACCCAATGTGACCATCACATTCTTGAGAAATCAATCGTACTACGAATGGTGGTAGATTTCGTGGAATGACCCCTGGCGATTGTATTGCGATCTTTTGAAACCGTCGCTGACGAAAGTAACGCCTACTTCTAAACCAGATATACACCATCTTATTGGTACGTACGTACTACCGGTGTTACAGTATCAAGGCTTCCTTCCGCATCCATTCGTCGGGGCATTCAACACTACTCAACTGCATATTCGATTTCCTGTCCGCCTGACCTGTCCTCTTGCTGCCTGCAAAGCCTAGGCTTGGAGTAATTTGTGCCATTGGAATGCATGTCAATGTGAAACGGTGTTTCGTGTCGCATACTGAAGAAACGGTTCACGTAGATCATACTATTAATAGTACGTCAATTTGATTGGGCTAAAATTCTCATATGTAAAGTGTATATTCACACCATATAATCAAATGTGAGAGGTGTACTGATGACTTCACTGCGAGATCCGATACTGTAACGGCGACCTGTCAGTTGTGACCCTTCGTCAATCTAACCACCGCCTTAGCTCCGCACAGTTGGCCTGTTAATATGTCCTCCGACACACCACCACCTTCGGAGCCTCTGAAAGTGACATTCCTGCCTCGCGGGGGCTGCATCGTGTCAACTTCCATTGGGCCAGTGCAGTATGGGATCCCGCCGGAAACCATCAAGGACTCGATGGTGCTGGGGCTTCCCGTGCCCATGTATTTTGTCGTACCTTCAGAACCATTCACAAAGACGCTGGGCAGCAACATGGGTGTAAACGTGGCCGAGTTTGAGTTCCCAGCCTACTGCAACTTCTTCTTCAAACGACAAAGTGTCAACTTGATCGTGGCGTCACAGGACGCGGAAGACCGCATACGGCGGGTGTTTCAAGAAACGCTGTTTGGCCCCCAACAAATCGACATCGAGCACGACTTTCCCGTGTCCGCCCCGCCTTCGTCGTACCCTGATCTGCCCGCCGAACTCGGCTACTTTCGCAAGTTTGGCAACACACTTATCTCCCTCGACATGTTGCTCAAGTTCACGCACTTCAACGCCCAAAACGTGGCCACTATCACGGCCGGCGACAACAAAGTCACGATCCAAAAGCTCAACGGCGAGTTTGTCTTTACGGACCACACGACCAACGGCACGGCCATCGTCGAGGACTTTGTCCGGCTGCCCGCGGCGCCGCCAGCCCAGATCCTCGACGAGGCGTTCTACCCGCCAGTATTTGGGGTCACGGTGCTGGGCAACTCGCACGGGTTCGACCCATCCGGTCGCACGTCTGGCTACGTGCTGTGGATCAACCGACGAGGGATCATGATCGACCCGCCGCCGTTTTCGAGCTCCATCCTCATCGCCAACAACATCCCGCCACTCATGATTGACGGTGTGATCGTCACCCATTGCCACGCCGACCACGACGCCGGCACGTTCCAAAAGGTCGGTTGAATGGGCTGTCTGCTTGTTTGGTTTAGAGGCTGGGAATACGACGGGATTGTGTGCTAGTAGAGGAGGACAAGGAGTCTTATCTTGGTTGTAGATCTTGCAAGAAGGCCGGGTGTCGCTGATCACGACGAGCACGATTTACCACTCATTTCTACGCAAGTACTCGGCCCTTTCTGGCTTTGACGAGTCGTTTCTCAAGCGTGTGCTCACGTTTCGACGGGTGCGAATCAACGACCCGACCAACATTCGCGGCGCGACCTTTCGCTTCTTCTACTCGCTGCACTCGATTCCGTGCGTCGGGTTTGAAGTCACGTACGGGTCCAAACGTATCGTGTTCTCCGGCGACCACCTCAACGACGTCGACCGGATCCAAGCGCTGCGCGACGAAGGCGTGCTCTCCACCACCCGGTACATTCCACATACCCCCCCACAGATTCTGCCTCTGACTGTGCCCTATAGGTGCAACGAACTCCTCGCATTTCCGTGGGATTGTGACGTGATCTTGCACGAGGCGGGGGTGCCGCCAATCCACACGCCGATGAAGACGCTTATGGCCCTGGACGAGTCGATTCGGTCGCGAATGTATGTCGTGCACACGGCTGCCAAGGACATTCCGGCCAACTCGGGGCTTCGCGCGGCCCCCGAAGGCGTGCAGAACACGATCATTGTGCCGACAGAGCTGCCCGAAAGTGCGTCGACCATGGAAGTGTTGGACTTGATTCGTAAAATCGACATTTTTGGCGACTTGACGCTCAACGACGCGTACGAAGTCATCCAGGTACGTTCAAGGATGTATGGAGAAGGCGGCGATTTGACTTCGTGGCGTAGATGGCAAAACGCGTAACGTTTTCAAAGGCTGAAACCGTCCAGCAAGCTGGGCAACCCACCGACAAGTTTTACATTGTGATCGCAGGCGAAGCGCAATGCCATTTCCCCCCCGAGCACGCGCCGCCAAACGTGCCGTCGGGGTCGACTCGGAAACGGCTGACCAACATCCCCCGGTCCAAGAAATACGTGGCGGGCAACTACTTTGACCTGCAGTACCTCCTTACGCCGCACTCCAAGGCGGGGTGCAGCATTATGGCTAACTCGACGCTATCACTGCTTCAGTTTAACGCCGTCGACTTCAACTGGTTCCTTCGAGGAACGGCCGTGTTTGAGCGCATCCAAAAGCTTATCGACACGCGGCACAACTTTGCATGGGACACCATTGGCGACAACTCGTTCTTCCAAAAGCTTACCGAGATGCAGCGCACCCAGCTCGAGCTCATCGTGACGAGGTGGGAGGTGCGCCAGAACTACGTCGTGTGGCACCCCGACGAAGCGTGCGACATCGCCGTGTGGGTCGCTACGGGTGAGTTCGTGCTCAAGACGTGGGCGAAACCCCCCGCCGCCGAGAATACCCACAGCGAGCCGGGCGCCGAAACCGTGCACACGGCCACGCCGCTGCGGAAACGAAAGGGCTCGATCAATGTAAGCTCTGTTGTCCCATTGGTGACGATGTACTGACAAGAGTATGATGATGTTGCAGCGGGTACTACCCATCGACGCGCTGTCGAGCGGCAAGACGTCCGAGTGTGTGCATACCGTGTTCCGCAGAGGCGCTTTCGTGGGGAATGTGGACGCTCTTTTTCATAAAGACGACTGCGAGTTTGGGTCGGAGCTCGTGGCCAAGACTGAAGGCGTGCTGTTCATGGTCAAGAAGCCCGAGTTCCGGTTCTTTCTGTTTGAGAACCCCGGCATCCTCATGGCGCTCAATGCCAAGACGTCGGTCGTGTAGTTAGAATGATGGTTAACATGTCGTGATATCTGCGTAGTACCGCGTTCGAGGGTGATGTGTATTTTAGGAGCAGTTTCGTCATGGGGGTCCAAATTTAGCCCAAACCAAACCATCAAGTCACTTCCAACCACGTAGAAAGTTCATCTCGTCAGTCGTAGCAGCCTCTCGAATCGTTCCGTGAACCCCCCCGCCGCCGCCTATCGTTCTCGTCATAGTCGAACGAGATGGTGAAGGAGGCAGCGGATCCATGCGCCACCCCTGGTACCGCCGCGTCCCCCAAGCCAAAGTGGCCACTCAGTCAGGTCGAGTGCCTCCTGCGGGAGAAAATCCTCGAGCGTACCAAACTGCACGATGGCAAGTTTGTCTACCAGCAAGCGTATCGTCTCTTGGAAGTGAACCGCGGCAAAGGTAGTGCCGTTGTATGATGATCACACCCTCCCCCCTTCTCCCCCTTCACCCCCACTTTCTATCGTCATCCCCGATTCGTATGTTTTCGTCGTCCTGCACTTCACCATGTGCTTTATCCAGGCATTGACGTGGCCTCGTTTCGACACGCGATCAAAGTGACGTTGGCGCTGGACGTCGACGACGCCGACATCTTGGCGCTGTTCCAAAAGTACGACGAGGACGGCAACGGCACGATCGAGCTGTACGAGTTCATCGACAGGGTGCTGCCCCAGGACTACGACCCAGACGTGCAGTCGTGGATCGAAAAGAGTGTCGAGCGGTGCGAGGCACAGCAAGACGCGATGCGCGAGGCCGACCGCAAGGCGTTTCTCGGCGGGCGGACGTTCCAGGACGCGTACAACAGCCACCTCACCGTGGACGAACTGCGCGCGGACATTTCATGCAAGTTGCAACAGCGGATTCCCAAATGCATCGACCGCCTGCGCAGCGCGTTCAAGCTGCTCCACAGCGGCGCCGACGCGCCCATGTCCCCGCTGGACTTTCGACAGAGCCTCCGCACCACGCTCGGGATTGCGCTGACCGAATCGCAAACCCACGGCCTTCTCCAGGGGTATATACACCCCGGCGACGGCTCCGTGGACGTCCAAGCGCTGCTGCAGAACATGTTCCAGACTGAAAACAAAGTCCAGCCCACGGATCTAGTGGACGGGTTGTTTGACGACGACGACGCGGTGCTCACGGAAGCCGCCAACCATTATGGCAAGCGACACATTGTGCCCGGCAAGGGCGAGCCAGTGCCCGAGCGGTACCAGAAGCGTGTGCACGGGTACTTTCGCACCAAGAACAAACACACGAACCCGTTGCGCCTGCAGAAACCACTGCCCCCCCGACGCCGCGCCACGACCAAGTTCCAAGTGCCGGCAGTTGCGACTAAGTTGCGCCACACCGCCCCCCTGACCGGACTGCTTCCGGTGCAGCCGTCCAAACAAAAGCCGGCCATGGCCCGGTCGTTCTGGGCGCGGATAAAACCAGCGCTGTCAGCTCGACCTGAGCCCGCCCCACCGGGGGACAGTTCCAGTGCAACGAAGGTGACGACAAGACGACCGTCGCCCCGGCTGATCGCCCCCGTCCGCGTGGGGCCCCACCCAACCGATGCGTTGGCCCACGCTATCGACAAATTGCATGTGGGGTACGAAGCGCCTCGGGTCGCAGTGAGCCACCAGCTGCAGCTGTCGGCCGTGCCATACAAGTCCAACAAACCCAACTGGCGCATCAGCGAAAACACGTTTTCATGTCGATAAACGGAATTAATATTGTCATTCTTTTACCCCAAATGTAAAGCACTTTTGTGTTGATTCTTTGCCAAATCTATCTTTGTCCTGACTTTTGTAAAGATCGCCCAGTGTCACACTACTTCAAGCCACACACTATTATAGTTCAATGTTGCATAGGTTGAAGAGTGGATTTGATTGGCTACTTGATTCGTGATCTGGGTATTGATTGGTCAATCGATGGCCGGTTCAACTTATATGCAAATTGAGGACTTTTCGATAAATGGGCTATTTTGAGCGAAACGTTTCACTATAGTTTTCGTGATTTATCCTTCGACATTCAATTTTCAACCAATCAGACGCGTCCAACTAACCTGCCCACTTCGTCGAGCATTCTGCGGCGAGGATAATTGCAGAGCCATGTCGGTGAGGGGAATCAGCGGCGATGCGCACTTCTTCGAGGAGAGTGTCAACATGGAGCGGATCAAGAAGTTGCTCGACAACAAGACAGGCACGGCGGGCGTGTCGGAGAAACTGCAAGCGATGAAGACGCTCTTGGCCATGATCTCCAAGGGCGAAGACGTGTCGCTGTTCTTTGCGGACGTGGTCAAAAACGTCATCGTCAACTCGGTGGAAGTCAAGAAGATGGTGTACATGTACCTCGTGCACTACGCAGACGCGAACGCGCAGTGTCGCGAGCTCGCGTTGCTCTCGATCAACTCGTTCCAGAAAGATCTCGCCGACCCGAACCAGCTCATCCGCGCGTTGGCGCTCCGCGTCATGACGAGCATTCGCGTGCGGGACATTCTTCAGATCCAGCTGATTGCGATCCGCAAATGCGCGGGCGACTCATCTCCTTACGTGCGCAAGTGTGCCGCGAACGCGTTGAGCAAGGTGCACTTGATGGACAGTACGGACCAGAAGGAAGTGCTGGCGGAAATCATCTCGCTCCTGCTCGCCGATTCCAGCACGATGGTGCTCGGTAGCGCCGTGCAGGCCCTCAACGAGATCTGCCCCGACCGCATGGACCTGCTGCATCCCGCGTTCCGCAAGTTGTGCCACCTCCTCGCCGACATTGACGAGTGGGGCCAAGCCGTCGTGATCCACGTGCTGACGCGGTACTGCCGTCAACAATTTCAAAGCCCCAAACAGGAAGACACTCTCCCTTCCAAGCAAGGGAATGCCGCCGTGAAGGAGCTGTTTCCCAAACGCAAGGTGAAGAAGGGCTTCTACTCGGACGAAGAGGACGATCCCAAAGCCAAGTCGTACAGTTCCAACGGGCCCAAGACATCAAATCCATTCCATCTCGGTACCTCGAGCGGCGGCGGCGGCTTTGGCGCGTCCAAGGAACATGTGCCATCCATCGGGTCAGTGTTCCGCTCGAACGACGTTGCGTCCGGCATTGGCGGCGGCGAAGAGCTGGACGAGGACCACCGTCTGCTTCTCCGGTCGTCGATTCCCCTGCTCAAGTCGCGCAACTCGGCCGTGGTGCTCGCAGTCTCGACTTTGCACTACTACTGCGGGACCCAAAGCTCCGCGACGTGTACCTTGTTGGGGAAATCGCTGGTGGGTTATTCGTGTAGAGTTGACAACTAATAGAACATGGGGTGGGTGTAGGTTCGCATCATGCGCAACCAGCGAGAGATTCAGTTTGTGGTACTGTCGGTGATCGCGTCCATGGCGGCGGCGCGCCCCGACATGTTTTTGCCGTTTCTGCAAGACTTTTTTGTGCGCGCCACCGACCCGAGCTACTCGCGGCAGCTCAAACTCAACATCTTGACGGCTTTGGTCACAGAAGACACGGTCGCGACCATCCTGCGCGAGTTCCAGGCGTATGTCCGCCATGTGGACAAGGGCTTTGTGACCATGACGGTGCGCGCGCTCGGCCGTGTCGCCGATGCGATGCCGTCTGTCTCTGAAAAGTGCCTGAAAGGTATACATATATATATCATCATTCTGTCTCTCCAAACGCTGTATCTATATATATATATATATATATATATATATTGGTGATGACTTTTCCCAAAAGTTGGGCTTTTGTGCTGAGTCGCCAAATTTATCGATTCGATCGATTGTTCTTTGACGTTTGGATGTAAAAATGATCCATATGGTCACACTAATTGAAGTGACAACACACTAATTCGATGTTGAATATTAGCCCAAGAGTGGATAATTTGATTGGCTACTTGATTCGTGATGTGGGTTTTGATTGGTCGATTTTCGATTGTCTACCGATTTGGTGCTTCTGCTCATTCGATTGAGCACCCACCCCCCACTCAATGTCGAATCTTGACAATATATATATATATATATATAGTGGTGACTTTTGTTGACTATTGTGGAGGGATTCGATATTTCTATTGTTCCAGATATCCGAATCGACGCAATGGGTTTATCGAATTTTAAGTGGATCTGATTGGCTCTTTCAGTAAAAACAAGGCATTATTCAGCCAATCAACCCCACCTGCGTGGTTTATGTATCATCGAAACCAAACCACGAGGCAAAGTGAAAATCCCCCATGGATATTAATTATGGAGGGGTTTCGCCTCATCACACACGATTTGTCGTCATATACACACTAATTGCATGGTGATTATTGCCTTTTCTACTTTCGTAAGAACCATCACTCTTGACTTGTGGACATGCGCAGGTCTGATGCGTCTGGTGCGGTCCGTCCACGAGCAAGTGGTCGCCGAGAGCGTGGTGGTGATCCGCCAGCTGCTGCAGCAACAGCAGCACGCCACGTCATCGTCGTCATCACTGGCCAACAACGCCAAGGTCGTGCGGTCGCTGGCCGCCATGCTCGTGTCAGGCCGCGTGACGTCGCCGTTGGCGCGTGCGTCCATCGTGTGGATGTTGGGCGAGTTCGCGGCCGACGACCCCATCTCCCGCGAGTCGTTGCGATGTTTGTGCACTTCGTTTCCGGACGAAGCCGCCGACGTCAAGATGCAGGTAAGTAGGTACCTACCTACGCATGTGTGAACCCCTGTGACGACGATGCTGGGACCAACGAATACAAATGTGGCTCTAGTTGCTGAATCTGGCCGTGAAATTGGCGCTCCAGGCCCCGGGCCACACCAACACGCAGCTGTGCTTGCAGTACGTGGTCGAGCTGAGCAAGTTTGACCTGGATTATGACATCCGCGACCGCGCGCGACTCGTCCGGGCGGCGCTCAACCAGACGGCGCTCCATCCGCACACGATCTTTTTGGGCAAGAAGCCGGCGCCGCTGATCGGCGCCTCGCACGACCAAGCGGCCAGTCGGTTCACACTCGGGTCGTTGTCGGAGATTGTGCACCACAGCGTCACGGGGTACGTGCCGCTGCCGGCGTGGCGTGTGGAGAAGGTGGACAAGCGGCTGCGCGACGCGGTGGCGGACCTGCCGCCGTCGACGCGGGATGTCGTGGCGCGTAGTAGCAGCACAAAGAGCTCGTCCAAGAAGGGGTCGGCCAAGAAGACCGGGGGGTTCTACAGCTCCAGCGACGACGATGAAAGTGAAGAGAGTAGCGACGAAGACGAGAGTGAGGATGAGAGTGAGGACGAGAGCGAAGAAGAAGAAGAGAGCGAAGAAGAAGAAGAGAGTGAAGAGGAAGAGAGTGAAGAGGAGAGTGAAGAGGAGAGTGAAGAGGAGAGCGAGCCGCTGCCGCCCCCAAAGCCCAAGAAGAAATCGTCCAAGGCTGTTGCCGCCGTCATGACGCCGCCGCCCAAACGCGCCGCTGCGCCATCCTCGCCAGCGTTTCTAGATCCGTTTGATTTCTTGACGACGCCATCCTCGGGCACGCACATCAACTCATCGAGCATGCTGGCGGACCTGTCCAACCTCACGATGAGCGCCGCGGCGCCGACGAACCGATCGGTGCTCGTGTCCGACCCTGACGGCGTCGAGGTCGAGTACACGTACCTCCGGACACCGTCCATGTACTCGCCGCACATGAACGTGGTGCAGTGCTACATCTCGAATCACTCGACGACGCCGTTGGCGCGCATCCGCGTGAGCGTCGACGCCAAGACGGCCAAGCGCGTGATTCCGTTCCCAGAGGTGCCCGTCGTGTACCCCGGGAGTTCGTCCATGGTCCAGCTGCACGTCGACTTTCGCGGAGTGCTCCAAGGTGTCCGAGTGACTGTGCACGCTGGGTTTGCCCAGCAATCTGACGACGACGACGACCAAGACGGCGGTATCCAAGGCGAGCTGGTGCCGACGATCGGCGAGCTGCTTCACCCGTTTCACGTGAGTACAGACCAGTTTGTCCAGCTGTGGCAGCAGCACCAGACGCCGCTCGTGGTCGAGTCGCGGCTGTTCTTGGCCACGACGTTGGGGGTGCTCATCCAGCAGCTCACGCACGCGTTGAACTTGAGCCACATCAATACGCACCAGTTGCAACCGTTTCAGCACCAGCAGCAGCAGTCGCCGCCCCCCGTGCAGCTGGTCGGAAAGGTCCGCTCGGACAAGGACGTGTGGATGCTCGCGACGATTGAGGTGAACTTGGCGGTCGGCAGCGTGCGGATTCAGGTGGCGCAGACGACGCCCCAGTTGCCGCAGGCGCTGCTGGACGCCATGGCCGACTTGATTGCACACTCGAAATAAGCATATATATCGAACGCCGTACATTCTCTATTGTCGAGTCGATTCGAAATTGATCGAATAAGTACCAAATCGGCAGACAATCGATATACGACCAATCAAAACCCAGATCAAGAATCAAGTACCCAATCAAATTATCCACTGGGAGACTTCCAAAACCGTCACAAACTTCTTTGAGTCGACGATTTTCATCCGGAATTATAATTCAATTCACCCGTACTTCTTTGCTGAGACGCAAATAGAGTCTCAGCAAAGAAGTACGCAAGGCGACTCAAATTATAACTTACAAAATTTATACCATACTATAAACAAATACAGTACCTTCATTGTGTTTGATGAAGTGGTGTGTTGACGGGGGGGACTCGGACGCCGACGATGACCAAGCGCACGGATGGCACTCAAGGAGCGTCATTACTTGACCTCGCCATCCCTCATCGCAAACAAACGAACCTGTGGACAACCATGTACGCCGCCCGCGACCGAAGCACGTTCATCACGTCACGTGATGAACGGTGGCGTACATGCTTGATCCCGACACGTTTGACCTCTTGCTCGCCTTCTTAAGCACTACTTAGCTCACCATCTCAATGGAAGTGGAGGAAGACCACCAAAGATCAACATATCAACGAAGCACTTTCGCTGATGTTGCACTTCTACAGTGCACCATGCGAAGTCAAAACACTCTGTGTTACTACTTATCAAGCAATTTACTGTTAGTAAATACAGCTAGCATACACTGATCGAACTTCTCGCGCCGTTCATGCATCTCAAGCCGCTGGGTTTGGAATGCTGCATCAGTGATGCAGCATTCCGAAAATGGAGGAGCGTGATACAGCATCACGCTCCTCCATTTTCATAACAAAGCCAATTAATGCAGCACCATGCGTAACGTAAGCGACCAATCTAAGGTGCACGGACCAATTGAAGGTGCATTTCAAACAGCCAATCACTGGCCTGAAAAATTTCGCGGCAAAACCTGCATAATACGATGTCCTGACCATGTCAGTGTTGATTTGGCGCCGACATGGGCCGACCACGTGGTCGGTACAAGCCCAAGGAGCTGGACGCTGCCACACAGCGCGTGCTGGATGGTACGAAGGGAAACGTAGTCGCTCAAGACACTGCATTGTAGGGCCAGCTTTGCAGAGACGCTGGGCTTGATGCCTTTGCCTGATGACAGATTAGGTCTACTTCGGAGGAGGTAGTAGTATAATACCGAAACAAGTTTGGCTGTCCAGTTCATTTGGTTGCATGTCATGTTTGCTTGAAATTCGGACATGTCACCCTAGAGGCATCGACCGTATAATGGTATATCCTGTCTCTGTCTAATATTTTCCTTCCAACATTTAATACCCTATCCCTGCAAAAAATATGCATCTTTCGATAATTTGTTTAAGATAAAAAATGCACCTTCAATTGGTCCTCTCAATATCAGTGAATCTGCTTAGAAAATCTGATTTAACGATGTCAAAAGCAAATGAAACTCGATAGATTGGACGGAGTCTGACAGCCTGCTATCTCAGCTTCACAGAGCACAATTTGGAATTTCCGTCCGATTCCTCAGGGCAGAGCTACGAGATTTTTACCACGACGCGATGAAAAAGTGTGCTTAGATTGGTCCCTTACGTTACCGGATTCCTTGCGTTGCC